AGAATTTCATATATAAAACAGTTTAACGGAACTGAAGGAACTGCCCCTGTATTAAGAACTCTGTTGTAAAGAAACTTACTACAAAACAAACAAAACAAACAACTGATTTCCCACTAAATATCAATACAAACACGTAACAAAGAGTATAAAAATTGTTAGTTTAAATATATACAAACTCTTTTCAACTCAAATACTGTTTTAATGCTTGTTGAGCGTATAGACAATGAGGTGAAGAGGATACATTTATGTAGAATATATTGCAACAGCCTGAACTGTACTGTTAACACTATTATATGGAGAACTTTCTATAACAAAAATGTCATTTATATTCCAATGTGGAGACAGATTTTTGCTTCTCAAATATCTGATCACTTTTCAGCTGAACTCAATCTTTTAGATTTAATGAAGGCCATGCCATGTGTTCTCATATGAGTATTTAAGGCCGCTTCAGTTTCAAATGTCTTTGCACACACTTTGCATTTTCGGTCTGATACCATGTTGTCAGATGATTCATCTTCATGATTGGGTTTATTTTCTTGTTGATTATCCTCCCCAGACCCGTTCTGTTTCGATACTGGCTGAGGCTCCTTCAGCTTATGTACAATGAAGAGATGCCTGGAGAGAGATACATGAGAGGTATAGCAGAGGCCACATTCCCTGCACTGATACGAAGAGCCATCAGATTTGTGCTGAGGGATATGTTCATGAAACTGAAGAAGATTTTCTGTTGTAAAGCCACACACAGCACATTTGTGGACTTTAAAAACATTTATCTTCAACTTCTTCAATGGCTGCGTGATTGCTCCCCTGGGAGGCCTGAATTCCAGTACAGGTTCTTCCAATTTACGCTTTGGACTAGGAACCTAAAAAACAAGAAAAGTGTATTTTATGCAGTTATAAATACACAGTTCTTCTCATGAATATTTACCACTTGTGGACTTAAAAATCTTCCATGGATATGTTCCAATAACCCCCGCTAAATCCAATCTCTGAAATAATAGAAACAACCATCTATGTTAATAAGAATCAGTTCAGATTGATTTTGCTAGCTAGGTAACAGCATTTGGTGCATTGTACGAACATTAATAAATGTCTTCCAGTATTACTGTATTAAAATATAATATTCAATGATACAGTAATGATGGACATATTTAGGATATCATTCTATCAGCACTTTAGTGCTTACTTTCAGAATCTCAATCTTAATTGGATTTGATTTTATTCCATGCACGATGATGACTGTAAATCACCTCCTGATTATTTGTGGCCAAAAGGAGATGCTGGAGAAAGATGACTACTGAGTACAATTTTTGATTACTAATCTACTACCAATCTGTTTCTTCATTTTATTGTTCAAGAGGCATATTTTTCAAGAATCCTTCACTTACCTATTTGGCTCTGAGAATCCACGTTATATTTCAAGACTATATACCTAACATGACCCTATTTTCAAAAAATGTTTGTAGAAAGGGGGGACAATTTCATGGCAACATTTTTTAGGGTAGGGAAACAGTCACACAAAAATTCCCTTTTTAAAAAATGTGTGCTGGTGTCACCACCATCAGCCTCTGACTCAAAGACGTGCATATTTCTTAGTGTACAGAATGAGTTTATCATTAAACACTGAACAAGTGTCATTAACATTCACCCTATGCAACTCAATAGCTCTGATAGCACCCTATAGCCATTTTAGTTTTCTCTTCACTCCTAACATTCTTCATCACACTGAACACTAATTCCACTCTACCTTTTATTTCTGGTAAACACAAAGCACATTTTACTCAGTATGGAAATAAATGTCGATAAAAAAAATTCAAACATTTGATTAATGTAATGAAAAAAAATGGGACTATTCCAGGTGTCCTGAAAGAAATTCCCAGGCATCAAATGGAGCACGAGGCCTGTCTCAATAAAACCAAGATACTTAATATATATCATGAACATTCAGAGCTCTATTTTTGGATCAGTGTTCCTCTGGCCAAGGAGGATTGTTCAGTGCTAGTCAACACCGCTCATTCATTCGGCACTGCAGGAGGACTGCCTTATTCTATGGATTACTGCAAATTTTTCATTTTTAAATTACTACTTTAAGCTGAGCCTAAATTGGTATTATTACTATGTGATGGTTATTCAGCGTCCTATGGGAAATGAGTTTAGTGGTGCCAGTTTGCCAGTAAACATATGTCCACATAACAAAGCTACCACGAGTTATCAATAAATTGGCATCACTGTTAGAAGTCCTAGCAGGCTGAACAAGGACTGAATAATCAAGGAGACTGCGCTAGCCTCTCACATGCAGGGGTGCTCCCTCCAGCATGGGACTGCAGCACACGGACACGGTATTCTGAGGAAGGTTGTACTTCTAGCTTCTGCTTCTATCTAAGCTGTAGTTGTTTGGTTGATAAAAGATTTGGGTTTGCAGAGCTTCCAACAGAGCACCTTTAAAAAGGTGCTATTGAAACAACTCACCAAGAGAGGGGCTGAATTCTCTCTCACTTGAAGTCTTTAAGTCAAGACTAGATGTCTTTCTAATAAACATGCCCTAGTTCAACCACAAGCTATGGACCTAGGGTGACCAGATGTCCCCATTTTATAGGGACAGTCCCGATATTTGGGGCTTTTTCTTATATAGACACCTATTACCCCCCACCCCATCCCAATTTTTCACACTTGCTATCTGGTCTCCCTATATGGACCTGATGCAGGAATTACTGAGTGAAATGCTTTGGCCTATGTTAAACAGGAGATCAGATTAGACAATCATCATGGTCCCTTCTGGCCCTAAAATCTATGTATCTATAAAAAGGTCTAACTTCACACAAAGAAGAACGGACCAAAAAATTCATTGTTGAAAGAGGTACTCCTAAAGTGTTTACCTTTGTGTCTTCTTTTACTTCACTTTCTTCTATATTGGTTGATTCTGTCATTTCTTTCACATCAGGGTCTTTAATGCCATGCATCAACTGAATATGTTTTTCTAACATCAGCCGCTTAGTAAAAGTGCGTCTTGAATCCGGGCAGTGCCTGTATAAATGCAAAGCAGAGATACATATGGTCAAATGTTTACCTTTTTTATAAACAATCTTCTTTTTTTTAAAAACAAGACAGATATGAAGTAGTGCACTACATCCAGGCACCAGTGCAATTTGTTAAAGAAAACGCCAATATTTTTCTAACCAAGTTTGTATACAAAAGTATTAAAAAGTAAACAAAATTACCAAATACACAATTAGTTACAAATATCTGAGCAAATTAACCTCTCTCTCGCTGTGGATATCTCTGATGTAAAATCCTAGAAGCAGACACGGGAGACAAAGTGAAAACTGAAGTATCTGAGCTCCTTCCCCTCTACTCTTCTGTCCACATCACCGGTGGCTAAAATTAGACACACCCATTCTTCATCTCCCCTCCCCAATCCAAGCTTCACCTGGGCAGCAAACGTCTCCCCTACAGTCTGAAATTGGATTCCAAATATCATTATTATTATTATTATTTGTTTTACTAGTGCCTAGGAGTCTTATTTATAGACCAGGATTCCATTGAGCTAGGCACTGTAGAAACTTTTCAGTCTGACCTCAGCCCCGGATTCTTCTAAGTCTCTGGACTTGATTCACCTCCCTCTGTGAACCAGGCATCCCTTCGTAGCTCCATTTCCACTTCACTTGTGCCTGCTGTTCTTGGCATGCATCCAGGTTGGTCAAGAGAGCAATCTTATCTCCCCATCTGGCTTGCTCCTTCAGCTGGAGGTGGTTGTGGGGCTTGGATATTATTTAACATACCCCAAGTGATGTTTGGGTTGGGGATGGGGGTGTTCTAGAATGGTTCCTGGAAGGGGTGTGCCCAGAAGAGAACAGGGGAAAGAGATATACGCCAATATTCTCTTTCAAAATATCTCTATTTTTGGGAATTAACATTTTCTATGATAACTACATTGCTAATTCAAAAAGTACAATATACTTTATGATACAAACAGATGATTCTGACATTAAAATGAACATACACACTATGCTTTCTTTTAAAGGCGATGCAGGTCAAAATAGGAGCTCTTGATGCTCATCACGTGACGAATGGAACAGATGGAACAGTGGCCAACCAGATCATATAATGAGTGACTAATGCAACTCGATACTACTTAGTAGATCAGCTGAAATCAGCCTGAAATGGATTTAGAGTATGGCAGATCCTGCCCAATAACCAAACAGGTGATACCCATTACTATGCTCATTATTTTAAGTCCATAAAGCAATATGCTAGATCAATGGTTCTCAACCTTTCCAGACTACTGTACCCCTTTCAGGAGTCTGATTTATCTTGCATATTCCAATTTCACCTCACTTAAAAACTACTTGCTTACAAAATCAGACACATAAATACAAAAGTGTCACAGCACACTATTAATGAAAAATTGCTTGTTTTCTTATTTTTACCATATAATTATAAAATAAATCAATTGGAATATTGTACTTACATTTCTGTATATAGTATATAGAGTAGTATAAACAAGTCATTGTCTGTATGATATTTTAGTTTGTACCTGACTTTGCTAGTGCTTTTTATGTAGCCTGTGGTAAAACTAGACAAATATCTAGACGAGTTGAGGTACCCCCTGGAAGACCTCTGAGTACCCCCAGGGGTGCACATATCCCTGGTTGAGAACCACTGTGCTATATTATACATAAGTGGGACAGTACAGATACTCCGGTTGTCATTCAAATTCAGAGTTGATCCATGCATTCATATAATAAGTTTACTGATCTAACTGAATTAATTAGATGTTTGGTTTTGCATAAACAAGAAGTGCAGATAAACTGACAACAGCCTCTACTTTTTTCTTTACCTTTGGCTCCATTGATCTTAAAGAACATTAAAAGTAGAACTTACGAGCAGGTATAAACTTTCCTAATGCCTTTGTGTTTGATACGATTGTGGCGACATAGACTATGGGATGAACTGAAAGATTTGTCACATTGTCGACAAGGATGTTTCTTCATTTGCTTTAAAGAAGGGAAAAAGAATAAAATATTAACTAGCAAGGTAATCAAAGGCAGCAGACATTTTCAATCTTTTAAAAATAACAAAGTAAGGTTACTTACCAAGATCTTTTATTCTTTGAGGACACTTTAGGAGTCACTGGTCCCAGAACAATTTCTAAACTGTGTGACCATTAAGAGGCATGCACACACCTACCTATTACTGTAAATTGTAATTAAAAAAGAGATGCCCTTGCCCCCTTTTCAATTCTTCTCTGCCACCAAAGAGAGAGGGGGAAAAGGGAGGATCAGTTTGAATTTACATAGGCAATGTTCAGATAACTCCAGTTACTTTTAAATAACCCCTTCTCCACTGCCAAATTGCATCTGCAGATCTTCACTCTGGAAGCAGCAAAGACAACTGCAGGAGGAAGGATGAGGGATACCTAATTGAAAATAGACTGAAGCACTGCTCTGCCAAATTTGATGCACGGTGATTTCATGTCACAACATCAACTCACAGGAAAGATCCCTGAAAAGGCATGCGGAAAGATGGGGTATAGCATGGCATTCCATTGTAGGACATAAGCCTTCTTCATAATTTCGAGGATCTAATGGTTTTATATTATAGACTACCATGTGGAAGGAGGTGGGAAAAACAATCCCAAAAAGAAAGGAAAGAAGCAGAACAATTTATGTCAGTTCATTCTGAGCTCTCAGGAGATTTTTTTCAAAATTGTACTTGCTTGAAATAGACGCAGCTGCAGGTGCCAGCATAAAAGCCCTCTATTGTGTTGTGTTTCTCTAAAAGAGAAAAGATTAATGGAATCATCTGTAGTGATGGTACTCCTAGTGAGAATGGCCAGAGGGTCTCTAGTATCCGAAGAACACTTCTTCCTACTTATGGGCTGCAAAAGCTCAAAGAACAAGCCATTGTTAATGTCCCCTATAACTGATTTAGCATATCACCAATCCAAGAACTCAGCAAGTCAGTCCCTTAAACAGCAGGTCTATCATCTTGAGCTTGCAGGAAAGACACTGCTCACTCAGAAAACTAGAAGGTTTACAATTAGAAGTTTATCTTCGCAGCCATAATTTAATTTTATTGACAGCTTAAACAGAAATTGATAAGTCAGTCCCCCAGTGGAACAGAGGATTGAAAGAAAAAGCCAAAAGGATGCTGACAGATCTAATGTAGATCACTTTGACTTAGATGAGCCTTCAACTGAGCTAATTAGAACCAGGCTCCTGGTTCACTCAGACTATCCCCTCCCAACTAGGAGACTCTTAGATCCAAGGACTCTCTGGGTCTGAATATGCAACAGATCTGAAAGAACTGGGTTGGACCCTAGATAGGAGCACTGAGCCCATAGAAGGAAATCCAGATCACTCAGACACTGAGCTGAAGTGCTCTGATTTGAGGATTGCTTATACTTGCCATTCAGGTTCAAGTGAGAGGATGGCACTGAGACACAGTCTGATCCAGAGTCTGCCTTGTGCCTAGAAGAAGAAATATCTGATATCTAGGATCATTTCTTCCTTTTATGACAGAGACCATGCTTTTCCTCCAGAGTGACTCAAACTTCCTCTCCTTCCTCTTTTTCTCATGGGCACTGGCCAGGTAAATCAGAATCTCCCAGTATTCCATTTGGGACTTCTGATCCGAGTTCTTAGATCAATGCTTGGGAACTGGGCTCCAGAGGTGAATCCATCTATTCCTATCCATCAGCTTCAAAGCAATGAGCAGCAAGGACTTTTCCAGGAGGATGACATTAAGTTCTGGCTCCATTCATTCCTATCCCCTGCAGCCAAATAGCCCCTACATAAATACCAATTCTTAAACAACTCTCAAACCCTTGATCTCATATGGGCATTTCAATGTCACAGGAGGTACATGTCTTGAATGTAGAGCACCTCTCCAGATCTGCCCAACCTAACTTAAAATCCCCAAACAACCCTAAATCCTAACTTTACAACAGGCTGAGGACAAAAGGGAATGTTTCCGATTGCTTGTGCTGCCAGAAATAAGAGGAACTGAAGACGATTTTAGGGACAGTTATTTCATCTCTACAGTTTCGAATGCCAGATCGTCAGCTGGTGTGCACATCCTCCCTAATGGTTACACTGCTTAGGAATGACTGCAGGACCTCTGACAGATAATGGGGAAAATATATCAAATGGGGTTAATCCTAAATTAGAAGTTTTTACAGACACAGTCCTGTCTGACCCCAACTTCCATTTTATATTTAATTTTTAAAATTGTGACTCCTTAGGCCAGTTGAAAAAAATTTTAAACCATTTTCTCCTGTGATATTGCAAAATTATTAGTCCCATTTGAGGGATTAAGACTCTGTTCAGCAAGATATTTAAATATGTGCCTAACTTTAAGCATGTAAGGAGCCCCACTGAAGCTTATGGGACTACTCACATTCTTACAGGTAAGCACTCCATAATTGCCCTGTTCTGGTCATTCCGCCTGAAGCAGCTGGCATTGGCCACTGTTGGAAGACAGGATACTGGGCTAGATGGACCATTGGTCAGACCCAGTATGGCTGTTCTTATGTTTCTTAAGTAGCATGCTTCTTCAGGGTATAAATCCCTTGTACACGTTTCTAAAAGAAAAGACATTTGGAGGGACATGAGCTGAAGACAATCTGAAACCACATTTTTAGAATATATAAATGCCTCGTGGTATGCTTTAAAGTTCGGCAAGAGCTATGGATGACTACTTCTCATGGTGAAGCCACGAATGTGTTATATGGGCCATCCAAAAATGTTATACCACATCACACCCCCATGTATTCTCTTTACTCAGCCTATTTCAGAGGAAAAAAAGCTTTTTTTGAGAATTTAATTGTTTTTATTGGTACTATTTTTCATATCCTCCACCTGTAAAGCCAGGCTTCGTTAGCACCATGAATCCAACTATAGAGGCCTCCCTGGAGAGAAAAACACAAATACATTTTTGAAAAATGGGAAATTCATTTACATCGTTTCACAAAAATTTAGTCTTTTTTCTGTGCTGACATTTTGGGAAAAAAAGTAATTAAAATTTGGAATTTTTCAACAAGTCCTACAGATTTTAGAAATCTGTAAAAACTACCTAAAATAGTTTTCTATACATAATAATGTCATGGTTTTATATCTCAGGAGTGCTAGATCTAGAAGGAAGGGACATGTCTCGTTGTGAAGCTAGAATTTCTCTCCTTTTCCAAATATACAGATAGAAAATTCCGTATATACATTTCCACATAAAGCTCCTATATCTACCCCTCTTTGGTCATGAGATATGAACCTGACACTAGTGCAACACAGAGTAATGTCTACCTGCACTGCAGGCCATTATAATTTTCAGGAATTTCCACAATTGGGGAAAAAAGGAAACATTTCTCTAGCACAGTGGTTCCAAAATTTGTTCTGCTGCTTGTGCAGGGAAAGCCCCTGGCAGGCCGGGCCGGTTTGTTTACCTGCCGCATCCGCAGGTTCGGCCGATCGCGGCTCCCAGTGGCCACGGTTCGCTGCTCCAGGCCAATGGGGGCTGCTGGAAGCGGCACAGGCTGAGGGACATACTGGGGCTTTCCCTGCACAAGCGGTGGAACAAGTTTGGGAACCACTGCTCTAGCATATTTTGTTTCTTTTGTAAATGTCTGTTACAAGCTGTTCCGATGTTTGAAATGTCAATAGAACAAGTCAGAAAATGTTGGTAACTTTGAAGAAGAGATTGTGCACTTGTGCAGTAATTGTGGATCTTCGAAAAGTATGTCCCTATGGATGATCCACTTCATGTGTGTCTGCATCTCTTGAGCCCTTGATCAGAGATTTTCCATTAACTGTGTCTGTTCAGCCCATGCATGCTCCCTATATCTTATTGTGTTGGACACCGGGGCTATATAGGGATGTGCAGGTGAACTGCCCTCAGGTCCTTCTCCACCCAAATGTTCCATAGAGAACAGTCCAAAGCAGAAGGGAAGGCGGGCAGGTAGTGGAGCACCCAAGGAGGACACAGCTTGAGAAACTGCAGTTACTGCACAAGATGAGTAATCTTTTTTTCTTTAAGTAGTGTCCTTATGGGTGCTTCACTTCAGATGACTTCCGAGCAGTATTCCCAGAGAGAAGAGGAAGTTTTGGAACTAAGTCCAGAACTGAAGACCCGTACTTCATTACCAACTGCCATATCGGATCTAGTGGCATGGATCAAAGTTCAATGTTTAGAAAATGTATATAATGAAGCCCATGTTGCAGCCCTAATATCTCAGATACTGACACATTCCTAAGTAATGTTGTGGATGTTGCTTGTGATCTGGTAGACTGCGTTATCACCATTTGCAGGGGGTGAATGTCCGCAGTACCAAAACTAGTGATAATACACCCAGATATCTATCTTGATAGACCCATGATCTGTACACAGAGACTATCTGTGAAACAGATGAACAGTCTAGGTGACATTTCAAAATTGTTTGGTCCTATCTAAATATAAAGCCAACCCCCTTCTAATATCCAAGACATGAGAACAGGTCACATGCAAAGAGCTATGCTGTTTTGGAAAAAACACAGGTAGATGAATGAATTGGTTAAGGTGGAACTCCAACAGTACTCTTAGGTAAAAATTTAGGGTGTGGCCATAAATACACTTTATGCTTGAAGACCTTAAAGGGGTGATCTGCCATCAAGGCTCCAATCTCTCTGATCCTATAGGCTGACATGATGGCTATTAAAAAGGCTTCCTTCACAGATAAATGGAGCAGCGAACAGGTTGCCATTGGTTCAAATGGAGGTCTCATAAAGTAACTGAGTATGAGGTTGAGGTCTCAGGTTGGGGTGGCAGAAATGGCATGATATTTATCAGAGGTAGTTTCTACCAGGTAAATCATGTTTTTTATTGCCCCTGGAAAACTAGTTAGTCCCGGTTTGCGAGATTTTCTATTTTAAATACTGCTTCATTTACATTTAGTATTAGTTACATATTCATAATGGGATCACATAAAGCAGTAGATTCAGAGATTAATTTTGGGTTGTAGAAAGCGAGGACTTTGGTTCGTCTGTTACAGACAGGTCCTTAGTGTATCTGGACTCCTGTGGTACCAAGTAGGAGAATGGTACTGACATGGTACTGAGGATGCAGAGGCCAAAGCTTATGGTGGAGGAGGGCCCTAACAACGCAGGCATCAATGGTGTTTGGAGCCACTGCTTGCTTGGTTCCGAGGGTGCTGAATGGGTAGGTACTGACGGAGGGCTGAGCCCACTGGTGTCAGTTTGGAATGTTTACACATGCTCTCCTTGTGCTGTGGCCCTGTTGGAGCCAAGCTCCAGGACTTTCCAGCTCCACCAGAACTGGAGGAGGAGTTCTTCGACTCAACAATACTAAGCTGAGAGGTTGAGGCTTTGGAGACCGTAAATCTCGAAGGGGACCTGGGTTTTTTTGGAGCTGGCTTCTTAAGATGAGAGTCTGCACTCCTCTTTTTAGAAACCTTAGCCGAAGCCTCCAAAATCTTCCTATTTCTAAGGGGACGTGTTTGCCAAGATTGAAGGAGTTCTCGATCTGTCCAGAGACAGATGTACAGAAGGTTTTTCTAACCTGATTCAAAAGTTGTCAAAGGGAGTGTTGCATCCTCAACAGTCTGAGTTTAATCTCCCATTTCTTCCTTAACCTGGATTTGAGAGCCAGGCAGAAGCTTCACTTCTGGGAGATATGGCACTCACCCAAGCAATGGACACACTTACAGTGGCTATCGCTAAGAGGTAGAGCCTCTCGGCAGGAGAGGCAGAGTATAAAACTTGACGAGCCAGGCATGCCCTACCTGGAGAATAAGGCTCCCCAAGGGGAGGGAGAGAAACAAAACAATCCTCTCATTACATATCTCTAACTAAAACTATTACTAATAACTAACCTATACTAACTAAACAAACAATGATAAGAAAAAAGTGTATACAAGATAGCAGAGGCACGTTCAAGGCAGACCTGCTCAAGCTCTATCTCAGGCCAAGATGGCTGAGAAATAACTGACAGAGGTTCAACCACGCATCCCTGTATATTCTCAGTGTCTGGCATGAGGAAGCATTTGGAGAATGTGAAGGCCAAATGGACACTGCTAACGGAAAATCTCTGATCAAAGGCTCAAGAGGCGCATGGGCACCTGAAGAGGAGCACCCATAGGAACACTACTCGAAGAAGAAAAATGGGGTTTTTTGGTGGATTTTTTTTCTATTTTTTGACTAGCTCTAAATGTTATTAGACCTAGAAGAGGCAGTCAAAGATGCATGAGGAATGCAACATAGGTCTGTAATTTACAACAACCACACTCATCTGGCCAAACAAAAACAAAAAAAATTATGTCCCCTGGAACCAAACTGTTAAAGCAGTGTGAGGGGAGGGGAATGGAAAGAGAATCAGAAATCAGTTTAGCTGACTCAGAAAATTTTCATAGGAACTTTTTTCAGTCATTCCATCTGTTCTTGAACAACCTTTTTTATTGACTAAATAACCCTACAATTAACTGAGGGCGATGAGAGTCTTTCAGTAGAAACGTAAAAAGCTAAGCAATATAAAAGGAAAAAGGAAATGGATATGAGAACAGGGAAGAAAAAAATAGAGCACAAAATGAAATAATCAGAAACATTATCACTCTATTTATAAAGGTCTACTGAATTTGAAAAAAAAATAACTGTTTCTATATTAGTATTAATTCATCTAATTTGGAAGCTACAGTAATTTACCTTTCCATGCTCTTTCCTCATGTGGGATATGTACACATCTCTCTGAGTGAAGAGTCGATCGCATTCCCAGCACGTCCAGCCAGGGTTGGTTACTTTTTTGGGCTCTGCTTTCTTTACAGGAGAGGGAGATTTCTTCTCCAGCTTTTCTGTTCCGTTGACGGATTTTGTATCCTCTTTGTTGTGACTGGCTGAGTTTTGAGTTGTGGGTTTAGTGCTCAGGAGCAAATTTATACCCAAGTTTGGTGGCCCCTCAACACTTTTCAACGTTCCATGCATAGACTAAAATATAAACAATAAAAACGTTACAAAAGAGTTTGCTATTGGTGTGGCTAAAATGTAAAAAATTATCTGACTAAAGGCTTTACTTCTTTCTACCCCTCATGATATAAATCTATTTATCAGACCACTTGTAATATAAGGACACCCAAAACATGTTTAGATAAAAACAAGGTTGCAATACAAACAAGCAACATAAAAATGTGTGAGTGAGAGGTTTAACTTGCTTTTTTTTTGGCGGGGGGGGGGGGGAGAGCTTTCTTAAAAGGCCTTCTTTAACATGATTAACTCTAATTTTTCATTTTACTTGCACAATAAAGTGGAACAATCTTCCCTAATGTGGACCACCTGATGTACAGTTTAGCTTATGCTTTCCTGTAAATATGTTTGCATTGACAGAGTTTGGGCAGCAATATTGGGAAAGAGATACAAGTAAAGATGGCTTTTGAAAGATTAAATAACTCAGTTAATAATCCCTTTCAACCACGAATTTGCCAGTCAGGAGATTACCTTCACATATGAAAGTCTTGCCTTCCAATTGCCAGTGTTCTCATGGCCTCTTACACTGTCCATTACCTTTGCCTTGCTGGTTTGCATGTCCAGCCACTCCGAATATAATCATCCTATCTTATAGCTGGGCTGAGCATGTAGACCCAGCAGCCAAAACCATTCAATATGTTGTTGAACCAGAGGAAACTGATACTGGGATATAAAGCTGATACTTTAGCAAAGCCAAACTATCTCAGTATTAGGCTCTTCTTTGTAGGATAACCAGATGATTCCCATTGGCTGTTTGCCAGGTACCTCGCAAATGTCATACTCAGCTGTGCTGTGGGACAGAACTGTCTTTCTGTTTAAGTGGTCTCTACAGAAATTAATGCCATTTACTTTCAAAACCAAAATGTTTCATTAAAAAACGGTGACTAAAAAGATAAGGTGCTTTCACTTCACCCATTTGACATTTAAAAAGATGAAAGGTTAACTCTTTTTAGCATGTCTAAATAAGCTACTAGCTAATGTAATTAAATCTATTCCCATTACAAGTTGACAAAAACTCTATGAAAGGTAATGAAAAAAAGACATAATTTCTGGGGTATGGAGGAAAGGTGTAAAAATGGTTGCTCATTTTAAAGTATTCTGCACATTTTTAACTTAAGATAATGTTAGCTATCAGAGTCAAATGTTTTATTCTTTACATACCAAAAAAATACATTAAAAGAACATTAAAATTGCAAAGTTCAAGCACTTAAAAGGCTGCCCAGGCAAGCTTAATTCACCCCTCTTGTTTGTATCCATTATGAAACAGTCTTTAATTCCATGATCACACATTTTTTTTCCAGAGAACCCCACCCTCAATGAAATGGCTGTAAGCATTTTTAATGTGAACAAAACAACATATCATTCCCCAATGTTGTTCTCAAGAATAGCTAAATCATTTTCAATTAAATTAAAAATCAGCCTGAGACATACAAGATTTCAGCCCAAACAGTAAAAAGTGATAAGCAACTAAAAACAGGGCCTTATAATGGAAAGAGTTAAGCAATCTTAACTATAGGTGTAGCTATCAACTCCACCTCTGCCTTAAAACCAATTGGTTTCAAATACTGTACAAACAATACACATATAACTATATATGCATGTGTGTGTATATGCCACTATTTATTCCTGTTTAGAACTGAAGAAGCTGTACACAGCACAAAGGGGATGCTTTCAGTAAGTTGCTAAGAGAAGTATATCCCCTTGCTTGATCGTTGAGCAAGAAAATGATGCAAGAGTTAGATACGAAGGCAAGTAAAGGGCTAGCTTAATAAACATTACTGCAGGTCAATAATAATTAAAGTATCTGGCAAAATGCAACAAGATTATGAAATAAATTCTCACCGAAAATGTGTCACAGGTCTTAAAATGGGAGCTAACAGAGGTTTAGAGCACTGAAAATACCTTGTCCTCACTTCTCAAAACATCTTTTGTCATCCCATACATTTGACAAATATGCTATTTTCCCTCATATTTTCAACTATAGGATAAAGTCACCTAAGAGCAGATACATAACCTGAAGACAAACATATGAGAGTGCATGCAATGGTCAGGAGGTAACCATGTCTGGTACAATACTTGAAACCAGTTTTTCTGGAATACAAATTGCCATAGTGGGATCCAGTTGTTTATGGCATCATATTCGCAGCAGAAAACCCCGGAATTTAAAGAAAAAATAATTTCTAGTCTCCTCCCCTATCTGGGGTGTAGATGAGAAAGAACTTTAGGGTATATTGTGTGTTTTTAAAAGAGTCTGGTTTCTCAGAATTGCTGTTTTTGCCTTCAGCGCAAATCTCAGCTACTTCCCAGGTAGTAAGTGCCATAGCTCAGGCTGAAATTCAACGTGCTGATTTCAGCAAAGACTAGGAGTCTGATTCTCCACTGCCCTGCACCTTGTTAAGTCATTTATGTCAGTGTAAAGGAAATGCAAAGTGGATGTCAAATGCCACTATTCTGGTTCACACCACTTTACAATGGCGCATGATGACACAAGGTACAGGGCAATGATGAATCACACCCTTGTGGTTTAAGGAATCTAAGAGTTGCTAAGCCCTCCAGTGCTTTAAAAACAAGGTAAAGCAATATATTTAAAATAAATGGCTAACCAATTGCAGCTGGGAATGGGTGGGGTGGGGTTATTATCTCTTAATAGCACAGATTGGAAGGATAACAGCCAGAGTTCTCCAGTAAATCATCTTCTTGTGTAAATATAGTTATGAGATACTCTGTTTAATTTTACCTTCTAAGGGTATATATATTTCTGCATCCATACAAGTAACACAATGTTTCTCTTATCAGTGAGTTCTGAGTACAGAAAGCTTGATTCTGTAATGAGCTAAGCACCATCAACTCCCAACTGACTTCAGCGAGAGCTGATGATACTTAGCACACACTGTAGGAGATGCCAACACTTAGCAGGATTGGGTGCATAAATCTCACTGTAACCAGTATTATTTTTATAATATATCATCTTGCATGCAATACACACAGTCACTGGCAATATATAAAATACTAATGTTCACACAGAGAAATCGAGTTAGTGACTAGAACATACAGATTCTATATTTTAACTGCTTAGAGATATTAACTGCAAATTACTCTTTAGGAATAACTACCACCTATTACTTTTAGTAGTTTTCTCATAATTTTGTGCTTTTCTGTGATGATTTTGTGTAAGGCTTTAAATGTGACAAATGCTGTATAAGAATTCAAATGAAAGGAGATGCTCACACACCTTGATATGATCCATCATAAGTTGCTTCTGTGCATATAAAAGAGAACAGTCCGGACACTTGAAAACAGACACCTTCTGGTTTTCAATGTGTTGATCAAAGTGGCGATACAGCAAGGGTTGCAGGGTAAACACGGTGTCACACATGGAACATTTATATATTATTCTAAAAACAGAAGAAGTTCAGTAAATAAAAGTCAAGTCATCCTGATCACTTATCAGCAGGAATTACTGTTAAATTTCTTTTTATCACAGGTGAGACCAAATGTATGTATACATGAACATATTGGTCTGTTGTGGAAAATTGAAAATGAAAAAGATACAACTAATTTAAGAATAATCCTCCAAATGGAAAGTAAAGCAGCACTCAAGAAAAACAGTATTAAAATCCAAAACCAATGGCACATTTATACCTATTTATAACCGTTATACATAAAACCAGTAAATGCTTCTGACAAGATTTTTCCCAACATATATATCTTTAAATCTTTAATTCACATTTATAACAAAAGGGCTGTTGGTCTACCTGACTTTGGAATTCAAAGGCACTAACTTGAAGGGGTTACTGATTTGATCAAGAGTGCTAACATGTTAAGTCAGGTTCACTTTTGGCTTAGATGTGTCTTCTCAACTTCTTGAACTATTAGTCCAATCCATTCAGTCTCTTTGAAGCTGAAATTTCACTGGAAGGCAGCCTTTCTATTTGGCAATTTAAATTTTTTCATCAGCTACCGATTTCAAAGCATTGTACAGAAATGACCAAAGCACAGCTTCTAGTACTGCTGATGCAGGACTGCTGGAAACAGCAAAAGCCAATTGTGTAATTTTAATAGCAAGTGACTCAACTTCCTTCCTGTATTACAATATTCTCATAAAGATGTTAACTAGCAACAAAAGTACGTTATAATGAGTCAGCTGATGATTAAGTAATGCATAAATTCATCCAGACTTTATAAAAAGGCTGGTGAAGAATCTAAGATAGTAATTAACAAGGACCAAAACAGGCTGAATTAGTAAGGGACATTGTAACAGCAGTCTCTGAAAGCGAGTTAAAATGACAACATAAAAATGCTTCCTAAAATTAAGGAAAAATTATGAATTAATCTTGAAATGAGTATCATTTCAGAGAATTCTGACTCTGTCAAGCTCCCCACCAATAAGTAATAAACCAGAATGAAACTAGGATGTGCTAATGAAATGGAGAGATCAAGTCAGTTCACAGAGAGGGTAACCCTCTGGTCTAAGTGAAAGAACTAATACTACATAATAATGGTTTGAGGCTGGTTGCATTTTGCCAATGATTCTGCAAAGAACCTGGAATGTTATGCACTGGTTTTCTTTTCATGATTTTTTATTTGTTTGTTTTGCCTATTTACATGTTTGGCTCTCTATAAGAAATTTACTTTAATTTTTAAATAAAAATGCGCTGTCAAGATTGGTAGGTCCAAAATTTATCCTCTTTTTCATATATCTGTTTATAAAGCCCATGTAATTCCCTTTATTTCTTCAGAACTGTTGTAATTTTTCTTTAGAAAAAGGAAAGAAAGAAAATGGCATCTGAAAGGGAAAAATAACATAGAAACATGGGAACTGCCATATTTGATCAGACCAGTGGTCCAACTAACCTAGTATCCACTGATTGTGGCGGTAGCAGCTACTTTATAGAAAAGTGTAAGTATCTACAGTCCCCTGACATTTTTTCATCATCAACATTTCTAAAATTTACTTTTTAAATGTTAATCATAATTTCCCAATGTTAATAAATATTCAGTTGAATCATACTGTTACTGGTTGTATTTTGTCCCTAAACTACTGGAAGAGCTAACTCTGTTAAAGGGAAATCCTCAACTACCGGTGCCCAGTCAGAGCACCTGAGCAGAATGCTGGCGAGAGATGCAGAGCAAAGGAATCTTCCCCCGACCACAGAGCTATTTCGGACATGTACCATGCACATCACTTAAGCCCTAAGCATGCAGTAGCACCTGTGCCCATAATGCATCCATAGGGGATGGGGAGAACCCAAGGATTCACATGGCAATGTGTTCACCCTCCACCATTTGGCACACTGGGAGCTGCTATGTAGCTCTATACTTTATAGGGGATGCACACTCCCGGTGATGGTCTGGCTCAGCAGTAATGCAACAGTTTAAAATGGTAATATTTTATTTACAGCATTCTTCATTTTTATGTGAGAATATAAAGAGCTACTCACTAGCAAGAGTATTTGTAATTTTCATTTATTCATACATTTTGTAAAGAAGATGTGTATTTCCATCAATAATAACAGATGGCATGTATCAGATATTTTGTGATGTGACTCATCTCTGATAAAGTGTTTTACAAAGCTAATTAATAATTATAACCAGGTTTGGAAACTGAGGCACGGGAAGGTTAAGAGACTTGAACAAGGTTATACACCATGGCACTGACCCTCCAAACAATTGTCACCCATGGCAGCACACTAGACAGAACACTAGAATCCTGACTCCTGATACCCATCACTACCCACTTGATTACACTGCTAGAAACTAAGAAGGGAATAAAATGACATCATTCTGATTCCACACAGTTTGAGTGAGAAAATGGCAGAAGTGGCAAGAACTCAAAGTTAATATCCTTGCTCTGACTATAAACATATATTTCAAATAAAATCTTGTACATTATAAATCAGAAAAACTTAGTAGGTCATCTAAGGTACAGTTCCACAGCCAATGACTTGAGTGGAAACTGTTTCAGGCCCCTAATCTACAAATTTGCGACTACAGGATTGTATATATTGTCAAATGGTGGAATATTATGTTAGTACTTTCTAATTTGCTTTGCTTTCTGATCTTTTCATTGTATTTAAAGTAAATTAATCCTTGAGTAATCACTGCATGTGTAATGGAGCAACACAGTGCTCGTTAGCAAAACCAGCTAATATCGATAGGAGAAAATAAATCTGCTACTGAGACTATTACACCTCTTTAAAAATATCAGCTTCTTAATATTCACATTTTAAATAAACGTTTAAGTTAAGTCAAAGTTGCTCTGCTTTTGCAGAAGTTCAGAATCTTCCTGATAGAAGTCCAAATTCCCAAGTCATCTATTTTCAGAATAAACTCAACTAATTCAAATTGATACAGATATTCTGTATGGTATGCTGTATCATGGTAGACACATGGATCCAATTCATTACAAAATATTTCTTTCAGCCACATTTTCAAAGTTAGGTATATACAACTAAGCACATATATTTGTGAATCAAATAAATAATGTGAGTCAATACCAAATGTGTCTAGCTAAGGCCTTGATCTAACAAAGTACTAAAGCATGTGTTTAAGGGCTATGCTCGATCAGGACCTAAATTACTGTAGCCCCAATTCAACAAAATACTAAAACACATGCCTTACTTAAAGCTCATGAGTAGTCTAGTTGAGGTCAGTGGATTGGGGCCTATATGCATGCACATGCTAAATATTTCCTCACAAATACTATGCACCAACAATTGTATGTGGGAAATGCACTTATTTCAATCTGTGAAAATCTGGCCAATAGAAATTCTAAAAATGTCTTTAGAACAAATAAACATGGAATCTATAGGTAGATACCTGAACATCACATTAAAAGACAATTAGTAATTTTAAAGGTGTCTCTATTAGGACATGGCATTTCTCCTTCCAATAATTTATTTTTCTATATAAATGATAATTGTACAATAATATACTATATTGTATACCAACAGTCTAATGTTATTAATAAATTGGTTCCATAAATATTAATTTCCCCAAGGTTTAAAAGGAGATTATCAATAAAAAAAAATCTTACTGCTATTCCTAAGAGCATACTAGCTATAAAGAAAAAGTCACACACGAGCTTCTTTAGCCCATAAAATAAATTAAGCTATCCCTGACGAGATTGGTGTGTGTGTGGAGAATTAAAATTGAAAAAGCCTTCCTTTTCCCCATATTAAGATAATCTCATTTGTACCTATTGAGAGCCATTCTACCTAATGTGGTTTTTCATAAAACAGGTTAAAATGAAATTTAAGAAGTGAAATCATATCTTATTTGCTGCATCTGTTCTGATAAACAGACATTAGTAATACAATTATAAATCATGCAATTCCACTAAATGCCAAGGGCATACAGTGGCTTACTTAATGCTCTATCTCCATTAGTTCCTGCAAACAAAACAGACTGTATGAGCAGTTGACTGCCCCAACTGCAAACGTGGTGCACATCCCTGTGTAGGGTCAAAACTCACCTCCATCCTAGGGTTTCACTTTTGTAACAAACAGAAGAACAATAAGGCAACTGTAAGTCCACTTCAAGCCTTCTGTCCAGGCTGGGCTGCTCCCAGTGTTCCTAGTTCAGGTTGGACAGGCCCTTGCTATCAAACTTTCCCGCTGACACACAAAAACCCTGTGTCAGGAGAGCCCAGGCCTGAAGCCTATTTTCCCCTTCAGCCAGAGGGTCCTTCATTCATTCCTGGAGAGGTGTTTCAGGGGGTGGCTCCAGCCCTTGTCTTCAGGACAGACATATAAATCCTTCCTGACCCTGTCCACCCATCACACCTTATTTTCTGAGGTGCTGAGCACACACAATTCCCAGAGGCATTGCAGGCAGCGGTTCCTGACCAATGGGAGTGGCAGAGCTGGTTGGCCGCGCTTCCACCTAGGTACTGAGGGAAGGGGATTTCGCCACTTCCGGGGAGCTGCGGAGCCAGGTAGGGAGCCTGCCAGCCCTGCCAATTCCCCCCCTACCCCAGCACCAGCGGGGCTCTCAAGCTGCGCGCCCCCAGGCTGCCTCCCCCTCCAGCGCCTGCGGTGCCCTTGGGCCATCCCCTGCAGCACCCACGGCGCCCCCAGGCCACCCCCCTCTAGCACCCGTGGCAGCCCTGGGCCGACCCCTCTCCCCAAGATTTAGTCAGGAGTGTATAGTACAAGGCATGGACAGGTCATGGGCCGTGAATTTTTGTTTACTGCCCATGACCAGTCAATGTCTTTTACTAAAAATACCCATGATTAAAACATAGCCTTAGTGATAACGTATCCTCTGCAGGTGTTTGTGAAGGGTCCGTTTAGCAAAATAAATAAATAAATAAAATTGCACTTAAAGAATTAACAGTTGGATTCTCTTAAAATAATTTGCTATAATACAAATGTATAGAGCCCTGCAAATCTGCGGATACATGCTTTATATCCGCAGACCGTGTTTACAGATCACGGATAGATGTGGATCCAAATTTTATATCTAGAGCTCTGCAGATACCTGCTTTATATCCGCGGACCATGTTTGCAGATCGGATATCAAATGCAGATACAAAATTTGTATCTGCACAAAGCTCTACAAATGTATTCCACAAAAATGCATGTTCCTCCTTCTGCATATGGCTCTAACGATACACCAGTTCATATCTACAATTAGGGGAGCCAGCTCAAAAGAATTAACCTGTGCACATGACCTGATATAGTTCAATACGATCAGGATTTATTCAAGATATCTTTTGAACTTTTTCAATGTGAAATAGTCACTTGTAATTTCTGAGCTTAGTTTTTTTTTGCTGGCTGTGAGAGGGCCCTCTGGCTCCTGCCTCTGCTCTGGCTTACAAACTGCTCAGAGACCCTTGTGCCGGTCAAACATCTTGTGTAGTTTATTTACAATGTGGGTTCCCAATACCTTCATACTATATACAGCTCTGCTTCAACAGTCCTATGGAGCCCCCAACTCCTATACCAAGCAGGGAAGGGCAATCTCTCTCTACTTCCTTCCTGTGCCTAATAGCTTAATTAGCCTTCCAGCTCTCCTCCACCACAAATTAGGCACAGCTCTGTTTAACCAGCTCCATTCTACATTGTTTGATTGGAGTGGCTGTGACCAGAGTGCTGAATCAGCTATTCTTGCTCAGCACTGTGTCACACTGGCTTTTACTACTACTACTAATAAAAAAAATCACATAACTAAAAAACTGTTTCCTCACTGTTCAACACAGCAATCTAAAAGTTTCTGAATTAAGTGTTGGCATTTCTGAGCCTACTGTCAGAGATGCCCTCTTGCTAAAAAGGAACATAATTTGCAACAATGGAAACATGGGAATTCAGGGTCAGAGCCCATAGATTAGTTTCAATTCTGCTTCAATATGGGTTTGAACAATCTGAAGAATAAAAATATACTTTGGAATATTAAACACGACAGTGCCAAGTTTAAAAGGCTTAAAATTCGACAGAATGATGCATGCTGCCTTGTTCTTTTACTCTGCCACCTTGAAGTTTTTTTTGAGCACGCAAGGTATTGAAATATACAGTCATGCTCTCTGCGTTTCAGAGCGGCGAGATAGAGCAGAATTCTTGAATATTTTAATACCCGACCTGTACCTAACAATGGAGAAAGCAGGTAGAGGAAGGACAGCTTTGTGGCAAAGGCACTGGGTTGGGATTTAGGCGGTATGTAGGTTCCATTGAGTTCAGCTGGAGCTTACGCTCAGTATTTCTGAAAAACAGGATCCTAAGGCTCAAATCCTAACTCTCCCACAGACCTTGGGTAAATCACTTAATCTCTCTCTAAACCCCTTTGTAGTAAACTGGAAATAATGCTTCCTCATTTAACAGAGGAGTTGTTATGCAGCAAAAAAGGCACGTGCAGAGACAGACCAAGGTACATCTGCCTTGACCTTGACAAGCAAGGTTGGAGAATGTTTAGTGGTGGGCCTCTCTCACTTAATGCAGTTGGAATTCTCTTTTTCTTGATGACATGTGCGTCTTGTGAAGGTGCAAGCCTGGCTCAGCACTCCCAAAGGTTGTGGCTAGTAGTGAAGACAAGCCAGGTAGAAAAGACTGATGGGGGACAACATCTCCTGGAGAAAAAACACATCTTGTCATGAAATGGCCTACCTGGGAGAACTTTAGGCCACAGACAATTCTTCCCTGACAGAACAGCATGGGACCAATGAACTGAGAATACCTGGCATTTCTGAGACTGCCAAAAGTGACTATCTACAGCCCTGCGAGCAAAAGTGACTGAAAGAACCAAGTTCTTTGGAGTCATCTGCTCTGCAATATGTTAAGCATTTATCTTTCCTGGTTTGCCAGGCAAACATTATGAAGGAGAAAAGTGCAATAACAGAGCTGACGAATATTAATGATTATTAAGCTACACTAAATGGAAAAGCTATATTAACTAGAGCGCATTCTAGAAGGTATGGAAAGCAAGGGCTCTTTCTGTTGTTTGAAAGGCAGAGCTATACCGAGGAGCTTGGGAGAGAAGAACTGAGGGACGAGATGTATGTAAAAAATTACTCCAATTTCTCTGGTACCTCTGAATGCTGGTTGACATGGAGAAAGTGTGGACCTAATTTAACATATTCAGAGAGACATTATCCTAGTTTCTAATTTCTTTAAGGCTTGTGGTGTTTGCATCCTAAATTAGAGACCATTTCCACAAAACCATAATATTACACTTTTGTCCTGCAGAGCAATTATAATATGGATGACTTATCACTGTAAGCAAAATACTTGCTGATTCACCTGTACCTTGTATTCGAAGTTTTAAATCAGAATCAAGTCATCCACGATTATGTCAATCTATCAATATTATTATTGCACTGTAAAAATTTATGAATATACCTTTATTATATCACAGCATAAGCATGCAATTATTTTACTAATTAATGAATAGTATGTTGTGAAATAAATGTCAGCGACCATCATGGTTTCGTCCCCAGGTTGTAGGTTTATGCCTGCAAATAGAACATTAGATGGAAACAGTACTCTGTTAGAATTATAAATGTCTCAACACATTTCAAAAACAGCAAAACGTTAATGGTTTCAACTGTCACTACTGATACTCTAGTTCATGATAAAAAAATGCAGCTGATTTAAAATAATTTAGTTTAACAATGGGGGAAAAAACACTGAGCAAGACTGAATACAGGTAGCTTCTTGGGTGCAACTGTATCAAGTTTTCTATGCTGCTATGGTTAAAGAAATCTTATTGTTATGTTCACGGAAATCTTATCTTTGCCAAATAAATGACTAGAAAATGTGACATGTACTCCACACATTATCAACAGTATGATAAATTGCTGGTTATCCAGTATGTGACTTTTAACATTATAAATACAACAGAGAATGTAATTTCACTGGTTATTAAAATATAGCATTAGAGTAAGAGCAAAAAATTTGTATTTCTTACTTTGGTTCTCCTATCTTGATACCAGGGTGTTGTGTATAGGCATGAGAATGTGTGCTGGGTGCAGATTTAAATGCCATGGGACAGATAGGACATTTGTAGAAGACTTCACAGTGAGAACCTTGAATGTGAGACTTGAGTGCAGCCACATCAGAGTACACAACATTGCAATGTACACAGCTGTAAGAGGAGGGGAAAAGAGTCAGTCTAACATAACACAGAAGTGTACTAAAATATGTGGAATCAAAACTTGGTTTTAGGCAGATGGAGGAGGGAGGGTTATGTATTCAATCTGATAAAATCATATGATTTGATTGGTTAAAGTACAAATCACAGAGACAAGGTGGGTGAGGTAATAGCTTTTACCGGACCAACTTCTGTTGGTGAGAGAGACAATTGTTCCAATAAAAGATATTACCTCAGCCACCTTGTCTCTCTAATTTCCTGGGACCGACACGGCCACAATAATACTGGAAAGTACAAATCACACATTAAGATCCAACAGAAAGAAAATGGTTATAGACCTAAAAAAGAAAAAAAAGATAACAATAATTAATTTGCAAGATCTAAAGCCAGAGGACAAGATTTGATAATAGTTTTATGCCAACAATAGATAGAATGGCCAATGGAATCTATTCCATCTGTTGATTATAAATAAGAACATTTTAGACCCTATAGGTCCTAGAAAATACATTTTTATCATGAGTAGGGGATTGTATGAAGAACCATATTGCAATCTAGAAGCTACCAAAAATGAAATACAACAAGAATAACAACTTTACTATATTTATTCAGGTTTAATTTTAATGAAAATGTTTTCTTAACTGAGTGATTTTTCTCTGTACGTAATCAAATCAATATCTGGACAGAGAAGAGTAAACTTAAATTCAGAGTGATTACACAGGAGATTTATAATCTTTTCTAAACATCAGGTTTCTAAAATATGCCTTTGAAATCTTAGTGTCTCTGACACCTTCCCACAATTCAATCTACAGTAAAGCAAGTAACATAAATTGAATTAATATAAGAACACAGGAATTTCTATACTAGATCAAGTCAGTGGCCCATTTAGTTCAGTATCCTCTCTCCAGTACTAGCGGCTTCAAAGAAATTCCAAAAATACCCTGTAGTGGACAATTATGGAATAACTTGCTTATAGGGAAAGTTTCTTACTAACCCCAATCTTTTGGAAGTTCGCTTGAAGCATGAAGGTTTGTATCCCTTCCAAACTTTATTTCTATCTACTATAATTATGGAAGTTCTCATTAGCCATATAAATGTCCAATCCTTTTGACACCCACTAATCTGCTGGCCTCAATGTTGGCAATGAGTTCCACAGGCCAATTATGCATTGCATTTAAAAAAATTCCTTTTACTGGTTTTAAATTCGCTTCCAATTTCATTAACTGTCCCCTTCTTTTTATATTAAGAGAGAAAGGGTAAATTCACTCAATTTACCTTCACTATATCATTTATTATTTTGTATCTATCATATCTCTACCTGTTCATATCTTCTCTAAACTAAACAGTTCCTACCTTTTAAATCTCTCTTCTTATGGAAGATTTTCCATGCCTCTAATTATTTTCGTTACCCATCTCTGAACTCCTTCTATGTCTGTTATATCCTTTTAGAGATACGGTGATCTTATGGAAGAGAGATAGCATGATGATATAGGAAACAATATGCCATTTTTCAGATATGGCAAGCCAAAAGAATTAGGAAACTTTTTGAAAAATGAAAGCACAATTTTTGAGCACTCATATCTCACAAACATATTGTCTCTGAGATACCTCAAAATTTCTAAAAAAAACCCCTCTACTTCAGCATAACAGCATATATGTGAAATTTCAGGTGATTTGGCTTAAATCTGTTAAAGATGGGAGGGGCTCAAATGAAACTTATAAATGAAAACGAACTTCCATCTTAACTACAGACAAACGCCTCTCCACAACACTAAATTTTAAGTATCATCATCTTTTTACATTTAACTCCATATTAGTTTTACTTCTAATGTGCTAGTGATATCACAGTCGAGAATTTTTTTTCTTGAAATGAGTTTTTTCCTTATAAATAAAATAATCCACAAATATAAGCATCCACTGTTGACTATAGTCTGCATGTCTGCCTGAATACAGAAGTAGCTCTGCTGAAGATCTGGGTCCCCCTCAGGTCCGGGTCCCCACTCCTGGACTCACTGTTGCAGCAGCTTTTTCTCCCTCAGTTTGAGAGAATCCAGCTTGAGTCAAGTGAGCTGAATTGCCTCAATTTAATTAGCTCAATCAACTAGTCTAGATCACTGGCATCAAACAGCTTCCTTAAATTATCGGACACTGTTCGGAAAGGCAGGAGGAAATACATCCTTCCTCAAGAGAAAGTTTGGTGTTGATGAGGAGATTCTGAGGATTCTAATGAGGAAGAAGATGGATTTTTGTTTTACGCTCATCGGATGGAGTGGAAAAAAGGAACTTTGACGCAGACTGTGGTGAGGGGATCAGACAGTTTCTCATAGGGTTTTGAAGAAAAATCCTGGATAATTTAGCACCATTGTCCTGATTCATTGTGGAAAGTAGATTTTGACTATGAGGGGGTCTTCTGGTTGCTACGACCATATGGGTAGAGGCCAGGTGTCTCTGAGGAAGATGTTGCATCTGAGTTCATCAGATGTTGCATCACAGGTGAATGAGGTATAGGAAGGGAATGGAAGACTCATCAGAAATCTCCCCCTTCTTCAGCGCACCCGATTACTCAGGAGAAGGGGAAGAAGGAGAGAGAGAATAATCAAGAGACTTTGGGCAGATAAGAGTTGAATCTTTGGCCTGACCTACCCAGGTCACCAAAACCAGAAAGATCCTGGCACAACATCTGCCTAGATGCAGTAAAAAGACTTCATCCTCCCCTCAGAGTACCCTTAACAGAAAACTTCTCAGCCATCCTGATAACTGAACTGTGTTTCCTTGAGGGGAAGACATACTATCGGCTGGTGGGATTCTAAATCACACCGCTCTATCTTTAGGTAGCCAGTTAAGACTGACTGCAAGACTATACTGAAGTGCTATGTGCTATGAAGTGCCTGCCGTAGGAGCTGGGAAAAGTTAGGCTCTTCTGAGCTGTTGTCTTGGTGCTGCTCTGTGTTTTGGTGGAATTCTAGGGACTGACAGAGTTTCAAGGCTGCTCAGTGCAAGGCTAGAGGTTTCCTTGATACTCCTCCAATCCTTGTCACCCCACTGATAGTTGCTTCCCAGCAGAAAATGTGGGGAAACACAGGAATTAAAGACTCTCAACAAAGAGCCAAAGTAGCAGACTGTTGCACTCTTTGATGGACAATGTGAACTGGTTTAAAGTATAGTGTAGTGGTAAATCCAGCAGAGGGAACCTGGACTTCCCCAACTGGGGAGAAAGAGTGAGAAAAAGACAGGGAGAAAGACTTCAACAAAGTTACCTTCTGTATCCGATAGACAAGTGGAATACACCCATCAGTGCTTTAAACATACTGTCTAGCAGCAAATACAAACAAGATTATGATTATTCTACCAAGACTACCTAAAAGTCAGCTTATGTCTTTTTTTAAAGAAACTGAATTAGTAAAACATGTCTGCATTTATTAGCTTAGAAACTGTATGCCTTAAATATGACATCTCATGGCTGGATGAAATTAGTAATATTCTGACTGAGTACCATACATAAGCAGAAGCCCAAATGCATGGCTGACATCCAGCAAGAATTTTTATCCCAAAATGTGTAGTACAAATAGTACTGTAGCCATGACAACTTTAAAACAATAAAGCAGCATCTTGCAAGCAATTTTCACAATAAAGAGAAACTATTTTAGTTTAAGTTTGAAAAACATAGGAAAAAACCATTTATATATGTGTATGTGTATATATATACATATATATATGTACAACATATTTTAGTTACACATGTGTAATCATACTGACCGAAAACCAACTCTTCGTGTGTAATGTAGGCAGTTCTTAGTGACGTGGGTCTGGAAGTGGACCGATCTGCAGATTGCTCCACATTCAGGACACGTATATGGAGATTTATGCTGATGAATTCTCTGGTGTGATGCAAAACTGCACTGGTTAGGAAGCAGCATCTGGCAGATATTGCAAGTCTTCTAAATGATAAACCAAAATAGATAAAACAAATGGTTTGGTTCAACTATATGCTTTCTTCTGTCAAACATTATAGTACATTTAAAAAAAAAATCTGTGTTATGGTTGTGATATAAACCAACAAGAGCAGGCAAATTCAGATGTAGGCCCTAGTCCTGGATCCCTTTGTACGATAGAGGCCTCTAAATTGGACATTCTGGGCCTGATATAAAGTCCCCTTTACACACCACTCTGGTACTGTGAAGGAGCCTAAAGGTCCATGTGAACTATATTTATGCCCTTAACTCAGAGTACCACAGAAAAATCTCCCCCACTAAAATAAACTTAAATATGGAGTGTTGTCTTTACTTTTAGATCTCCTTGCTTACGTTGCTTTTTAATTGTAACATCCAAAGTGCCACTTAATTGTGTGTGGGGGAGGGGAAGGTTAATTAATTTTTTTCTTTAAAAAGGTGGTTTTAAATATATTTACCCACAAGACCAGAGAATTGTGTATGCATTGTAAATATTGCACATGTAAATAAGAACTACATTTATGTAAAATATTTCTAAAGCTTTTCTTTGAAAAGGAGTCTCTGTAAAAGTGCAGTAGCCACTTTCCCAATCTCAAGCAATTAGTTTTGGTTTTCAGACTAAAAAAATAAATAAAATCCTTTAGTACATGCTGATCACCTGTCAAGTCAGAATCACTAGTACTTTCTGGCTGCTTTGTGCCATTCCAGTGATGGAATTCAAATGATGTAAATCAGATGTAAACACAGATTTAAATTGGGTTTACAGCTCCTTTCCATCACTGGAGAGGCCCAAAGAGGCTGAAGGGTACCTGTGAATCTGGCCCACATAGGTTTTAGTTACATACATGCAAAAAAGCATCTCTAAATAGGTAGGCTACAATACTGGACAGATTTATGCTCAGTGCTTGACTTTAAGCACATGAGCAGTTCCAATGACTTCAACTGAACTATTCACATGCTTAAAATTAAATATTAGATGTTAAGTCTTTGCAAAACAGGATCCCTAATTCCTCTTTTTAATACTTTGTTTTAATAACAAGCTGGTTATAATAAAATAATAAAAATAATAATAATAATAAGTGATTGATCCAAGGCAGAAAGCTACAAGCCCCAAGCTGAAGCCTGAAATTAAACTAAAAACCAAAACCAGCACATCTCTTAGGTCCTACACTGTAAACCAAGCAATGATATACAGAAATAATGGATAGCTAATGTACAGGGCTTCTGGTACTTTTTGGTATTTCTATTTTTTCTTCACTAAAAAAAATTAGAGTAAGGAGGTCATTGTCCATGAGGAAGTACAACTTTTAAAATGTTCAATTTCTGCTCTAATGGATTTTAGGGTCAATTTTTCAAAAGTGCCCCATGACTTTCAGTGGGACTTATGCTCTTGAGTGACTTAGGCACTTTTGAAAATAAAATCAAGCCTCCTAAGAGATGTAGGCGCTTTTGAAAATAAGACTTGAAAACTTTACCCGTAGATGTGCATGTTTTGCTAAAACACAAAACAAAAAATTCTCTATCAATTTGTCTTACAAATAGACTTACTGAATTACTGATTAAACAAAATTGTAATTATGAAATAATTCAATAGAGTGTGTTTATTCTCGCTGTCCCCCTCAAATGGTAGGCATGATATGAAAATGACCATCTCCTCCAATTCTGGACCATTTTCCTTTGAATAATTTTGTGTTTAATAGTAAAGTCCAAAGCTGCTCCTTCACAATATGTTGCAATTATAGTCATAACAGTAGAATCAAAATAGCAATTGTAAACACAACAGTAGAATGTTATAAGTAGGGCCCTACCACATTCGCAGCCATGAAAAACACCTCAGGGTCTTTTGTGTACAGATTTCACGGGGGGGGAGACCTGCGTTTCTAAACTGGGGTTCCTGACCCAAAAAGGGGCTGTGGGGGGTTGCAAGGTTATTTTAGGGGGGGTTGCAGTATTACCATCCTTACTTCTGTGCTGCCTTCAGAGCTGGGCAGCCAAAAGAGTGGCAGTTGTTGGCCGGGTGCCCAACTCTGAAGGCAATGCCCCGCCAGCAGCAGCACAGAAGTAAGGGTGGCAATACCATACCATGCTGCGCTGTTGCCTTCAGAGGTGGGCGGCTGGAGAGGGGCGGCTGCTGACCGAGGGCCCAGCTCTGAAGGCAGCAGCACAGAAGTAAGGGTGGCAATACCATACCATGCCATCTTTACTGCTGCTGGCAGCAGCTCTGCCTTCAGAGCTGGGCTCTAGGCCAGCAGCTGCCGCTCTCCGGCCACCCAGCTCTGAAGGCAGCACCACCGCCAACAGCAGCGCAGAAGTAAGTGTAGCAGTACCACAACTCCCACTACAATAACCTTGCGACCAATAACTTCTTTTTGGGTCAGGACCCCTACAATTACACCACCATGAAATTTCAGATTTAAATATCTGAAATCATGAAATTTACCATTTTTAAAATCCTATGACCATGAAATTGACCGAAATGGACCCTGAATTTGGTAGGGCCCTAGTTATAAGTAGCTTACATATGGTGCTGACTCATCGTTATTGGCAATTGCATCTATGCACCCATGTAAAGTTAGGGCCTAAACCTGCTCCCACGTAAGTCAGAGTTTTGATACTGACTACAAAAGAAGCAAGAACAGGCCCTTAATAGTTACTGCGAAAGATAACATTAAGGGGGTTATTTGTTTTTTAAAAGAATATTAGTAAATACCATGAACCAAAGTAATCCCTCAAACAATTTAACAGTTTGAGAATAACACGCTTATTCTAACATGCAATATACTTTTTATTAATATTATGGTGATTCTCCACCAGGGTCACAGGCATGTTCCAGTAAGGATTGCTTATCTGAGTAGGATTGCCGGATCAGACCCTAAATATTTAAGGTGAAATCCTGGTTTCATTAAAGCTAATGGGAATTTTGCCTTTGACTTCAATGAGGCCAGTATTTCAGCTGTAAAGGAATTATTTTTTAAAGACACTATTTTGTACTACTCTCTAATTTTAGAAACCTGACAAGAGACAAAAGTAAGTTCATTTTTATTCCTTTCATAATGCAGGATCTCCGTCTAAATGCTTTTGAGGACCCATGCAAACCTTTAAAAAAATTATATAAAGTTTTATTTTAAAGAAGAATGTTAACATGAAATATCTTTAATTCTACACTGAATTAGGGAGTTTATTTTTATGCAGCTCAGTCTTAAACTTTACTTTATAACCTTGATGACCCTATACGTTGGAACATGGGCTTGTTCTAAGCATGTGCCACAAAATTTCCTCATTTTACACACAAACACACACACACAAACTTTAAAAAGCCAAATATTTGTTCTTAATTGTCCCAACAAATAATTCCTGAAACACTGAATTATGACTTTCATTACTAATAGAACTAATGTGGGGTTTTAATTTTGTGTTCATCACAGGCTTAAGGACAAAAGCCTGACTAACCATAACTCTATTTAAAATGTTCTTACCACATTTATTGAGCTTCAGTACCACTGCCACAATTTATCTTTTGCCATCTACGTATTAACAAGCAGTAATACAATAGTGGAGAATCTGGAGTATTCTTTGATTACATAAGAAAATGGCAAAACAAAACTTCTTATTCCAATAATAGAAATATATGGATTTTTCATATTCCTTCCAAAGTATCTTTGTTTGCAGCACTACAAAAGAAAACCTGGATGTTACGCCACAGAAAAGCCATACACCATTACCAATCCCACTAAGTATTCCTCAATTTCAGAAGTGACAGCAAGCACTTTGCATAATTAGTCTACAACACTAACACTCCAGAATGTCACAAAACTCCAGCAATACTAGTTGTCAAAGTAGGCAGTTTGCTACTTTAACAAGTGTAGAAAATATTTGTAATTGTAGCTGCTTACAAGAAGACACTACCAGGAAATTCTACAAGCCAACACTCCTGCTTAGTCTTAAAGGTGCCACAGGACCCTCTGTTGCTTTTTACACTTCTGCTTAACACTTTATGTTGGGCTTAAGGTGGGCCTGAATTTCCATGTCTATCATTCCAACCCACATAAGAACAAAACATGTTTTTCTCAGTGTGACAAGCATTACATGTCTTCATTTAGGATCTAGGAGGAAGGAGGAAGAGGCTTAGGGGAAAATGGTGGTGAGGAGAAATAAAAACCCACAAGACCAGTTAAGTCATATTAAGGGGTATTGGCTACACAGCTTCCATGAGAGCTATGCAGTTATACCTCTAAGCCTATCTTACCTGAATATTTTATTACTTCAAGTTCACTATCTTCTCTATATAGCACACTGGCACAATCCTGCACTTACCCATGAGTGGGCCCATTGAGTTCAATGGGACTACTTACATGAGTAAAGTTAGGGCTTGTCTACACACTGTGGCAAATAACTCTAACCGGGTGTCATTTGTGAAGCATACTAATTGCGCCATCTGGGCCCTGCTGGCATGCTCTAAAAAGTACCTACTTTGCACTGACATAGTTCTATACTGCCATGTAAATAAGCCCTTAGTCACATATTCATCTACAGTATTAGACACATGGACCATTTCTGCGGTGGTTTGTGTGGATCTTTCACAAAATAACACAGAAGAGTTCCTACAATATATGGAGAAGGACCTCCATGTTCAAACAGTTGGGCCAGTGGGGTTTTTTGGATAGTTTTCTCTTTCCAAGAAATATTTTTAAAAAGAAAAAATTGTTATCTAGACTAAACCAAAACACAACATTTGTGCTACCTGCATTGCAAGAGTAGTTAAAAGGACACTGTGAAGATTGGTAACCCCCAAATAAGAGTTACTGTGCTTTCTATTTGTTTGCAAAATCCAAATAATTCCCTCATCCCCCCAAATCAATCCACCTTTTCCGACCTCCTCTCCACCCCCCACTGTCCCAAAAAACAAATCAGTGCTAGCAACCCACATTCTTGAGCAACTTTACAATAATAAGCCAGTGCTAGGTACAAGGAAGAACAAAAGTCAAAGAAATAATATTTCTCTTTCAAGTTTCTAAAGGGATATTATAATCAGAGAAAAATTCAAAAATGATTAATAAATACCCACACAATGTCCTTCTGCAACAAACACTATTCCCACAACAATGCTTACACTGACTGATGATAGAGCACAAAAACATATCTTGTCAGAAAAATGAGATATACTGTTGTTACCTAAAGTGGTCGTGTTCATTAAAGCTGCTTTCATGTTGGGCATTCCATCTCAGTTGTAATACTACTGAATGTAATAATGCACACATATAAAAAAGTGGTCAGAGAGGCTGAAACCATGTCTGACAAAGGAAAAAGACCACAATAAATAGGAAAAATAATTCAGTTTTTTAAAGAGGATTTTGCAAACAACAGAAATTTATAACATTTAAAATCTATTTATTATCAGTGTCCTTTTAAAAAAAAGAGAATTAAAATTAAAACTTTCTGCCCTTGCAGTGGCTTACTGAAATAATGGAGGCTGATGTAACTAAAATGCTTGGATTTTTTTCTTTGAAAACAGAATATCACATGGCCAGACACTAAGGCCTTGTCAACATTTAAACTTTTAAAGAGGTTTTGTTACCAGTTAGAGACAGCCATGTTGTTCATAAGTTATATGCAATATAGTCTAGTTTGCGTCCCCATAGCAGCTTTTCTGCCTTCACGACTGTATTTGAATGTCTGCACCTCTCATTCTGCCTACTCATGTTTATTCTGAGGAAATCTGGGCAGCTGTCCCATAAGCCTTAGCAGAGGAAAATGCGTCCAAAGGACATGCACACAGCACAGAATAGCAGCACATTAGGCAAGAACATCCTAGTTTAGGGACAACTGGGAGGAAATAGCACAAGCCACACCGATTATACAAACATGATTAGGTTGTTTCGCCCACCCTGGCAAAAACCACCAACAAAAACCCAGCATGATAGAGCAGCATTTTTTTTTCATGCTTTTCTGCTCAACTCTGTTCATTTTATCCTTACCGCATCCTCCCAGCCCACCCACACTCCACATGTCCTGTCTGATATGTAGCTTCTGAGCTCTCTGGGGCAGGGAATGTCTTCTTTGTTACTTGCTTTTACAGTGCCAAGCCCAATGGGGCCTTGATTGGGTAGGGTTCCTAGGCACTACCATAATATAAATAATAGTAATGGATTAGTTACAAAAAAGCCAGCGGTATGCCAGCCTAGGCCTCTGACAGGGTTAGCTGACCAGTTACGGAGTTTGAACTATGTTGCACGTGGGCACAAAATATATTAGAGTCAACCATGCCAATAACTGGTTAAATGCTTGGTTAAAAATTATAGTGGGACCTAAGGGTGAAAATTCATCATTCCATCTTCTTCACCCAAAGCCTGAGTAATCAGACTTTATGCAGGAATCTCTACAGCATTCAAAGGGTGGGAATTCGCACATAGCAACCCACAGTAAAGCCATGAGATTTCACTGCAGGCCCTCTGTAACTATTATCCTAGCTAACAGCTGGAATAGCATCTGCTACTGTGTCACATAATCCACACAACCCTGGATTCAGTGTTCCCACACTCATCTACCTTTATATGCAGGGCTACTTGAGGTGATGTGTACAAAGTGTTGCTTCACAGACATCCCAGGAGCACAGTCCCACAATGAGACTTAAGTAATATGGAGGCCCTTGTAGAAGCCATCTGCATCTGTACTATCAGAGGATTTCTTACTAAGTGCAAACGCTCAGCAAGTCTATCCCCGCCATTGTCCATAAGATGAAGACTGTTATACCACACTCCTGTCTCTGTCGATCTGAGTGTATTTACTGGCTTTCCATTCACACATAACAGGAAGTTGCAACATGAAAGCCAGCCAAATGCTTTGAAATACAGTAGAATCCTTTTTAATTGGCACACCCCAGGGAAAATCCAAATATGCCAATTAAGCAATGGTCTCAATTATCAGAGGCTTATAGAATACATTGTGCATTGGTTTATTTCACTTTTATTTAATAAGTTTTTATTTAAAGTATGCAATGTACACAACATTTTTAAAATACTATATTAAGATAAATTTGACTCATTTTAGCAACCATAAGAGAGAAAGAAAGCAGTAACAAGTAAACAAATGGGCACACAGCTAGAAATATATGCTAGCAAACACCACTTTTCACTCCTATTTTCAGAAGGCCCGCAAAACACAGCAGGCATATCATTTAAATAGTGTGCCATTTATTCATTGCCTAGAATCCCTGTAGCACCCAAATAAGCGCCTAGCACACTTACGCACTACAAGTAATAGAAATTGAAATCAAATCAAAGACACAATCAACCATAAGACAATCGTTCCCATTAAGTGAGAGTACTGTTAAGGAGGGTGCCAATTAAGTGGATTCCATTGTATATTTAAATTCCAAAGCATAAAAAAGGATCACTACAAATTCTCAGTGAATATCATTACCAATTTCAGTATCTCAGGGCACAGTTCTAAGAAACTTTGCTAAATCTTAATTTAAAAAACCTCACCACCCTTACAGATGTAAACTTTTAAAACCTGGATTGAGTAAAATTTTTCTAACAAAGTATACTCCAATTCTGAAAACAATGACATTCACTATTTTGTGCTTGCAGTTTTTTTTCTATTTTTAAAATATTTTTTCAAGCATTTATTACTTCACTCAAATGAGGTATGAATGTTTACGTGAAAGCAAAAAACATATTCAAATCTCCTATTCTTATTGCTGAAACACTGGAATTTAAACATAAGATACTCTACTTGTCCACTTGTGTCTGCAGCCTGCTGGAAATGTGTAGCAAGAGATGTCTCATCTTGGAAAACTTCATTGCACTCCAAACACTTTAGACTATGTCTACAGAGTTTTGATGGGTCTTCATCTAGAGGCATAGCTGGAATGATAGGTGTACTTGCTGGGGCTGATATTACTGTTCCAGTTATGCCAGACTGTATCTTGGTTACAGTATGTGTGCCAACTCCCATTGGGCTTTGAAGAGTAGAAGATGCAGCAGTATTGCTTGAAGGAGACGCTATCATTTGATCTGCTGGGACTGGTTTTAAAATCAAATGGGAGCACTGCATTACAACTCCTTTTTCCTTATGTCCACGAGCATGGGAAAGAAGACTGCATTTATTGTAGAAAACTAAATTTTTTGTACAATGGTTACATGTCACTTCAATTCGCACACTCCTCCTATCATAATGCTGTGTCAGACTCTTTTCGAGAGCAAATGAATCACCACATTCCAAACACTTGTAACCACGTGTTGGTAATGTTATACCTGCATTGGCAGGAGGACTGAGGTTTGGGACATAAACTGGGACGGGATTAACACTACTCAGCACCTTATTGAATGCTTCCACTACAGAACTCTGCAGAGATGATACCACCTGGACTCGCGACACTTTTTTAGAAGGCTGTGAGGCTGCTGCAGAAATTATTGCCTGCTTTATTTGTTGCTGAGGTTTTGTTAGCACTTGGCGGAGTTCAGAGGTGGTTTGAGCACCTTGAGGCAGAAGATTAAGGTTGGCAAGATGGACTGTCTTTGGCACAAGTTTAGCACTGGCAAGGCTTGATGCTGGCACCACAACAGTCTGCTGCTGTATAGCATTAGCGGCTTTAATAATGGCACTACTGGCACTTTGCACAGAAGCAGCAGATATTACAGTGGCTTTCACCGTAGTATTGTTAGCAAGCTTCAGATTAATAACTTGTGATCCTGCTGTTTTAACTGCTGAAACTGGGAGAAAGGCAGTAGCCACAGGTTTAATAGTGACCTGTTTTGGTGCAAGTTCTGCAGATGCAACTGCATTGGTGACAACTGCTGACTGGAGAGGTGTCCTAGGAGGAGAAGAAAGAACAGCAGCAGAAGTTGGAGAAGATAGCAGAGATGTCATGGAAGCTACCATGGAAGCAGTTTGCTCTGGCTTTTTACCAGAGTCCAAATCAACTTCTGGCAACACCCTTGTAACTGTTCTCTTGATTTCCCCAGAGGACGTCTTGATGGTTTTTATGCGAACTTTTGGAATGGCTGGCGTTGACCCTGCAGGAGAAGATGGAGACCCTTTGCTGCTGTTTTCACTTGATACACTTCGGGGACTATCGGGTTGTTTTATAGATGGTTTTTTAGCACCATCAATAAGACTCTGAGATTCAGGTGATTTCTCAACAGCCCGGGGACTTTCATTCATGTCTTTTGGTAATGGAGAAGATTCTCTTGAAGTAGACTGTAATTCGTTACCGGTATCTGTAGCTGCTTTTTTAGCACTCAGTGCTGCAATTGCAGCAATGCATGAAGAAAGCTTTGCTGATGACTTTGCTTTGGACTGTGAAATGCTGGCAAGGTTTGTTTCACCTTTTTCAGTACCTAGTTTTCCATCAAGTACCCTGTTTTCAGAATTGTCTTTTAGCAATTTGTCCTCTATTTTTCGGGCTTTGAATGGTTCGTAGACACTTAAATTCACAGAGTTTGTTTCTGTTTCTCTTTTAACACCTTTGTTTTTATCTACATTACTTGAAGCTGGAATTCCAGGTTTAATCAAGTTTTCCCCTCCAAGCATCTTTAGTTTGTCATATTCCTGCTGAGAAACTGATCCTGTTAACACATTTGCTCTGAAATTTGCACGCATCTCTTCTTTATCTGGAGGATCATCCACCTCTATTTTTTCATCATCATCAAATTCTTCAGCACTTGAGATTGGGCTAAACTGGTTGAAAGCTGAGTCTTTCAGAGTAGTCTCAGAGGTTGACCCCTCCTCTTTCAGACACTTCCCTTCATCTTTACCAAAACTTTCAAGAGCAGATGCTGTTAGAAAACCATTATGTAAGCCATTGCCTGTGGAATGGTGGCCATCCTTATCCACTCCTTCAGAAGAATCAATATTACGTACATTTTTCACAATGACGCTCACACCAACATCTGAGGATGATGGCACATGAGAATCTTCATCTGTATGAGCATTCTGTTTTATGTGGTTTTCATGCTCATCATGTCCGGACTCAATAGCTGCTTTAGGATCAACCATGTCTGGGATGTCAAAGGCTGCAAGAAGGTCGTCAAAGTCGGGGGTCTTCATATCCCCCATGGTCATGTATTTGTTTGGCAGCAAATCTGTAAAAAGAGCAGAAAATCTTTATATCAGTACCTTAAACATTAAAACCATATTTTAATACAATATATATATTAATAAAAATAATGGCCCATACATAGTTTGCAAATGGTTTTGCGAAGTGTTACCACACTTATTTCATCCATGAATGTATAAAAATGTTATAAATCACAATTTCTTTTCAGAGATCAGAAATTATGCAATAGCTGTCCAGGTCCAAGCGAGCATGCCAAATGATTACACTGTGAGACCAGCACAAAAGAAGCCTTTGGGGATTATAATTTTCCCTTTTATTTTAGATTTACACTTTTCTTTCAAAAGCATCCTACTCCTGTGCTTAAAAACCAGACACCTCTACATTATGGAACTTAAAAACCTAGATCTCTTGCACATTTGTACTTTTCACGGTTAGTCAAACCACTGAACATATACAATGACTGTAGATCAAATGCACTTTTAAAAAATGGCATTGTTCCATCACACTATTCTCTATATGACCTCGATGTCCAGAATACTCACTTTTCAGTACAGCTATGAAACAGGTTCCATCAGGATTAATTCCAATTTAGTATATATATTTAGGTTGATAAGTTCAGCTCCAATTAAATAGATAAAGAGTAGAAAGGGAGGTGTGTTTCCCACTATTTGACATCTACTGACTGAGACAAGATGGGTGATGTCATATCTTTTACTGGACCAACTTCAGTTGATGAGAGACAAGTTTTTGAGCTACACAGAGCTCTTCTTCAAGTCTGGGAACGGCACTCGAGTGTCATAGCTAAATACAAGATCAAACTATTGGGTGACAATCTTGAGTACCTTTCCCAGACCTGAGGAAGAGCTCTGTGTAGCTCGAAAGCTTGTCTCTGTCACCAACAGAAGCTGGGCCAATAAAAGATATTACCTCACCCACCTGGTTTCTCTAATACATTGGGACCAACATGGCTAGAGCAATACAGCATATCTAGTGACTGAATCAATTAAGGTCATGAGGTCTTTGCAGTACTGGGCATTTGAACTGTCTTCACAGTAAACAGTTAACCTCAGTAAGCTATTTCCAGGCTATTTTCAGTCACCCACTATGGCCCCGAATCCTGCAAAGATTTACACACATGCTTAACTTTACGTACTGTGAGTAGTCCCATTGATTGTTAAGTACTTTTGTTATGGTGGTTGCCCTTTGTTAACTGTGACACTGCCCTGCAATCTTTTCTTTTTCTCTGCAAGAACTAGGCAGATTGAAATTCCTTTGAGTTTACAAAAGGGTAGGTTATTAATTAACTGCTCCCAGAATATTTTCACAAGGTTAGAGTATGAGGAGTACCTGTAAAGGTCCTTTTGCCCCCCTCTACTCTAGGGTTAAAATCCTGTTAATTGAACTTCTTTTAAACACATATCATACCAACATTGTTTGCCTGATCAGTGGATGTAATGCAGAAACATTTTTCAGATGGTCTTTAAACAAACACATCCTAGACTAGACTAGACTTCATCTGATGAAGTGGGTATTCACCCACGAAAGCTTATGCTCCAATACGTCTGTTAGTCTATAAGGTGCCACAGGACTCTTTGTCACTTTTTACAGATCCAGACTAACACGGCTACCCCTCTGATACTTGACATCCTAGACTAAAATACCGTATTGACCTCATTTGTAAAGTAATGATATCTGGTCTACACTGATCCTGTTAACACATTTGCTCTGAAACTGGGCAGACAAGCCAGTTTTCTCTAATGAAAATGGAACATTTTTGGCTATAAGGAAGCAGACCCTGAGATTGTAACAAAGCAGCAAAAGCTTTCTAATCTCAGGGTTTGTCCTGGGAGCTTCAGATGGACAAAAGTTCAACTACAGCCTTTAGAATACCTAGTGCTGGGGATAGATCTGCCTTGTGCAAATTCATAAGCACCTGAGAAGAATCTTAGCTAAGGCCTTGTCTACCCAGAGGAAACTTACCAGTACAGCTATTCTGAAATACTATAGTTATTCTGCTATTGCTAATCCAGTATAATTTAACTATTCTAGAATAACTCACCCATGCAGACACTCTATTCCAGAATAAAAGTGATTTAGCCTGGAATAACTACTCTGCTTACAAAGTACTTTTGGAAGCAGAGTAGTTACTTCAGAATAAAGTCATATTTATTTCAGAACAGTGAGTCTATGCAGAGATTTTCCATTATAGCTGCCTGTCTATTTCCCAATGCACACAAGTCCAAACTCTCTGAAAACCTGATATGAAAGAGTCAGAAGCTTGAACTTAGTGGCATGCTTACTTCCTGTGCAGGATAGGCAGAGGGTTCTGCTTGCTATCATTAAAGCAGCTTTTGACAGGATAAAATTAAAAGGGAGTACTGGGTCCTGTCACATATAGTTAACAAGAGCAGTGATGGTTCAGACAATGCTGCCACATCTGCAGGAGGGGTCAGGGCATGGGCTCCCCCCTGAGACAGAATGAAATACTAGTGACACGTTTATTGCTTGTGCTCCAATGCTTTGATGGGCACATGGTGTGGAGAACAAGCTGCTACTTATTGAACGAGGGCTCTCTGGCTATAACTTCAGCACCTTGCACTATCAGCGAGTATCATCCATGTATCACTAGGGGAAATCACACATTCCTCTTTATTTCTATTTACCAGAAATCTTCACTCACTGCTCACTTAACTCCTTCCATGAATACATATACCTGGCCTAAACATAATACCTAGACTTCCCTTCCCATCTCAGGCCATGGTCACAGCATAGGTATTTGGGGTGGAAAGAGGAAAGAAGCTTGCTTATTGAATTCTGGCCCTTGTATGTAAGGGGAACAATAAAATGGCTTTGCAGGGGCTCCAGCTTTGTTAGCGTTAACCCTGAACAAAATACAACATCACAGATAGTTAAAAGACAACTGGAAGATGTCTCTGTTGGAAGGACGCAGTAGTTCTCAACTATTTCACTGACAACCCAACTAGAGAAAAACAGGATGTTGGGCAAAATTCATAGGATCTCCTAAAGACCATATACACAAGTTTGGGTTTCCAGTGGAATTTAAAATATCTTAATCTCCCCATGGAGAGATATCACTAGCCAGCTGCTCAGATTAGGTTTATTGAAGCACACTCAGGATGTGATACAAGTAAAATAAAATAAGTTATTAAACAAAAATAAAATAAACAAATTTACCAGGTTATTGTGGTGGTGGTAGTGGTGGTTGGATTTTTCTTTTTGTTTGGGGGACTGTTTGTTTGTTTTTGAAGGGGGGAAATGGGATAGGACTGCTTGAATGGGGGTTTTTTTTCTTTCTTTTTTTAAAACAATAATTCTGCATACAGGAACTACAGCATGCAGCTCTGTGACTATTCAGTAGCCTTCCAGCCTCTCTGGTGCTTCCATCTGTACTGAAATATCCAAAACATGTTGTTTCATGCCTTTATCCTCAGTACTTTATCGCCACATAATCAGCCATTTGGGCTAGCCCATGCCTATATCTTCCATTTCTGGTATACAAGGAAGATTCAAAGGTCTGAGCCTTAGGGGATGTAAACCAGTGCAGCTCCACTGAATTGACCTGTCCACTATCTTTCTCAACTTACCACAAAAGAGAGCCTATGTATGTGTAGAGCAATAAAAATGTAAAACAGGACAAGACTTTTAAAAATTTAACAGAGACCTTGGGCCCCATCCCTGTTTCAGCTGTACTGATGCTACTCACTGCTACAGTTCTCTTGAGGTATTTAACTGCAAAAGCTGAGAATTCTGCTCTTCACCTTAAATTTGACACTTAGTTCAAAATCTGCTTTTTGACACCAGTTCAGTAAAAAATGATTCAGGATCTTAAAATGAATCTATACTAAGGCTTCAGCCACCATTAAAATCTGTTTGGCTTAACTAGTTTTAGAAACAGAGAGTAGAATTTTAGAAAAATGTCCCCCATGGGAAACATCATAGCTCAGTGGTTTGAGCATTGGCCTGCTAAACCCAGGGTTGTGAGTTCAATCCTTGAGGGGGCCACTTGGGGATCTGGGGCAAAATCAGTACTTGGTCCTGCTAGTGAAGGCAGGGGGCTGGACTCGATGACCTTTCAAGGTCCCTTCCAGTTCTAGGAGATGGGATATCTCCATAAATTTATAATTTATGTAGAACAGCCCTACAAGTCTTGTCTTGGGCCACATCTGGAAGAAATCATCATTACTTTGAAGAATGACAGAGGCTTCACTAATATGACAGATTATGTTCCAGGGATCACCCGGAAGGGTTCCCCAGACCATAGTTAGAAAAGATGATGGGGGTAGGGGACAGGACTACATTTCAGATAATCAAGGCTGAGTTGCAACAGAATTGTTTGCTTGTGACATTTAAACATGTGTGTTCACTTTCTGTAACTCATTTTATGTTACCAGATGACTGGGCTCCCTTAAAAGTTTTTCAGATGTGTTGAGATGTGATTTTTACAGATGAACTGACCATCCATCCTGAGATGGGCTACACTCTTGTTATAGTAAGTACAAGTGTTTGGGAACAAAATAATGCATGTCTAATAGCTGTGTTTGGTGCCCCAATACACTGGTGATGGACATCTTCAAAAGGCAGGCAGATAATATAAAAGTCTAAAGACTGGGGAAATTGCCATTTTGTCTGTACAGTGACTTGAGGGTCCAACCCTGCCACTTTTAGAAACCCACATGTCTACCATTCAGCTGATAGCTACACCTATCAGGAAGGAAGTTTCCACCCACCACCCCATCCACACTGCATCCAGGACTGCACCTATGTCCAGATATCTTACTGATGCTTGGGTATTTACATGCCTCTGAAACATCAAGCATAGGCCATTTCTGGAGACAGGATACTACTGGGTCTGAGGTATCTTTGGTTTGATCTAATATGGAAAACCCTATGTGCTATGAAAATCAGGAGACAACCTTGTGCAGCCCTGGAATTTAGCTCTCATGTGGCAGGCAGTCATCTGAGAAACCCATTTGCAAGTCTACTTGTAATAGGATTTGAGTAGCC